CTCCACGCTGTGAGGGAAACTCGAGGTTGGCCTGGTCTTGGATGAGCGATCGCAGCGCGAGTATGGCCCAGAACACCCGCTCTGGATGATTCTCGATGCTATCGTGGAAGAGCTCCGTGAAGGCGTAGAAGTTGGCGTGCTGCCGGGTCATGGCGAAGATGGAGATCTCGTAGCCGATCCACTGCACGCCAAAGCAGATCTGGCCAGCTGATGTGACCTTCCTTGCGTGTAGTGTCGCCGCCAGCCCCCGAGCAAGCTTCAACCGATCAGCTTGGCCGCTCGTGTAGGCTTCTGTTGGGGGCAAGAACGTGTGGCAGGGTGAGAAATGGAGTTTATGCCACTCGGTTCGGTTAGTTGTTTGAGGATTGGCGTAGGTACCAGGGGGGACGCCCGTCGTGAACCGGTTTGTTGGTGCAGCGTTCGAGGGTTTCTCCTCGACCTGAAGGAAGGCCACGCAATTGTCCAGATTGGAAGGCGTTGCCACCGAGAAGAGCTGCATGTCCGGGTGTTTGCGACGAGCTGACCCGGAGGACAGCTCGCCAGAGTCTCTCCCGATCGAGATCCGTCTTGCTGATGTCATGGAGAAGCCCATCCAAGACGGGTCCCCAAACCTGGACGCGCCACCAGGTCTCTTTCTTGGTGTGCGCTGCTGACTGCAGCGCGCGAGTGATGCTGAAGTGTGCGGATAGCACAGAGAAGTGGGCAAGGCCCTCGTAGGCTTGCTCCAAGGCATGCAGCTTCTGGCAGAAGCCCGCTGACTTCCTCCACAGGGGCTCCTCGATGAGGCGGGAAGCTTGGGCGAAGACCTCCGTGGCCAGAACGCTCGCTGCTTCGTCGAACCTCTCGGTGAACCGCGCACGCACGTTCTTGGCGCCTTCCCGAAACGAAGCAGCAATGGGGTGCCTCTGGTCACAGAATTGTTCAAACTCTTCTGGCGGCCCTGTTGTGAAATTTATATATATATCACGAGAGTGTCAACAACAAGTGGCGCAGCTGCACCAAAGCAAGAACTGAGCCAACGAACCGTACCACTCACAAGGATGCGGGACTGGATGAGACCGAACGTAGAAGCCTCCATCTCCTCCCGGGCCGCGGGCGTGAACTGGGCGATGACATCGCCATCGTAGTTCTCCACGGAGAGCTCGCCAAGCCGGGTCGTAATGTCGACTACAAGGGAAGCTTGGAGGTAAGGGTGGTAGACAACAAAACAAACGGGGCATTTGTGTACCTTCTGGGGGTTCATTCAAGATCTCGATCGCGACAAGATGGAAGATCATCTTTCCGTAGCGAGGTTCAAGTTGGATGAAGTCTTTCATTGTCCAGCTGGCCAACGTGGAGCCATCACACTCTTTGAATAGGACAGCACAAGACGCAAACCTGCCTTTCGACACCGTTTTCAACCATTGCTGCACATCGCTTGTTGTCCATTGCGCGAGAGGCTCTGCTGAAAGGGAAGGGTTGAGAAGTCCAGCTTACTCATCTGCTTGTCGTCCTTACTCTTTGGGGCGTACCTGTTGCGGGCGGGGTTGAGCCCATCTCATCCTTCTCCATCTTTTATCTTGGAAGATGTTGGCTTTTGGCGCCAAAAATTTACGGTTTGGTGACAAAAAAAGAACAGAAAAGTAAAATTTCGAACGCCTGAATGGGCGGCTATGCACGAGGTCCTCGACGAACAAGTGGCGGTCGGCAGCGCGTAGAGCAAGTGAGCAGCAGCACCGGGTAGTGCTGCGTCAGCGGCTCCAGCTCGCCTTTCTCAGCGCCGGCGAGAGGGTGTTGCCGTGGCCCTCTACGTAGAGGGCGAAGCGCAAGTCGTCTTTTGCCGTCCACCGCCGTGTCCACCCGATTCACATGGGTCGAAGAAAAGCGGGAGCTGCGGGCGGGGCAAGTGGTGGCGACTCTGTTCCAGTACCACAACCTGCAGGCATCGGCGCAGAGCTGCTCAAGAAGAGGGCAGCGGGCTGCTGTGTGCTAGCGTGGAGCGGAAGCCGCGGGTCCAGATGGCACTGAAGCTCCTTCAGGGATGATTAATCTGGTTTGTTTCCAGCTGGCGCTGTGTAGCGTGAATAAATTTAAATTCATGACTTCTCAAGAGGGGGGTGGTGGTCGAAAGAAGGAGGTGAGCTTGTGTGACCCCAAGGACGATGACGACGACGAGGAGGAGGCCAATGAAGAGGACTTTCTCTTCCTCTTCACGCCGCCCGACGATTTAGCGGAGGTCGATGGTGGCCGTGGTGGTGACGAAGGTAACGATTTGGTGATGGTTGAAGCCCTTGCCAGTGACGAAGCCAACGGCGAGGCCAATGCCGCGACAGCGTTGGTGCTCGGGACCGGTCGCCGGTTAAGGGTCTGCGCCGCGGTGGCGGCTGCCTCGGCTTTGAAGAAGGCGAAGATGGGCTGGGCCAGGCCCGTGGCCGCCTCCCGCGCCTTCTTCTTCTCCTTCTTGGCCGACGCCGCATCCACCAGCCGCCGCGGCTTCCAGAAGCTACCCTCCCGCACCAGGCGATCCAGTTCCGGCTCCACCACCTCCCACACCTGTTCGCCACCACCACCACCATCATCAGCATCAATATCAATACCATCACCATTGCTACCATCACCATCGTAGAGCAGTCGTACGGCGGCTAGATTGCGGGCCTCGACGTCAAAGTCGTCGGGCGGATGCTGCTCGGCGCAGCGTAGTGCGGGCACAGCGATGTAACTGGACGTGTCGACCGCATCATCAACATTGTCGACGCCGCCTGTAATGGCGGTCGTGGCGGTCGCGTGTCGGCCCACGCACACGGGTCGCTTGTGGTTGACGCCGCTGCGGTGGTGCCAGATGGCGGACCGGATCTGGTCGGGCGTTATGGCCCGGCGCACCACCTCGGCGGTCTCGGCCAGCTGGTCGATGATCTTCGGGTGGCAGTGCATGTCGACGCCCTCCTTGAGCAGGTCCTGCGGGTGCAGCACCGCAATGTCGACGTCGACATGACCCACCGCCTCGTCAGCGTCGCCACCCATCGACGACCACTCCTCGACGCCTCCGCCGCTGCTGCCGTTTGGCCGGTGCTTCTTCTGGGGCGGCGGGAGGGGCTCCTCGTCGGGGTTGCGGTTGCTGTAGTAGTACAACCGCACTTCGTTTCCCTTAAACCCGCCGTAAGCCTCCCGCAGCACCTCCTGCCATGCCTGCGTGCGGTTGTGTGTCAAGTCTGTCCTCTGTGTGTGTGTGTGTGTGCGTGCGTGTGTGTGTGTGTGTGTGTGTGTGGTGCGTCGTGCTGAGGGAGGTGACGCACGTCGGGGTGGAGTTGGAATCGTCGGTGCCAGGTGTGTGCAAAGGCGCGCAGGAATCGAATGTCGCCCTTCATGCCTCCGTAGCACGATCGCAGCATAATCGACGCTATCAGACCCCGCGCGTCCTGGCTATCACTCACCTCCTCCTGTATGATCCGTTACACGCGTGTTCGATTGTACCTATGTGCGTGCGTGCGTGCGTGCGTGTTGTGTTGTGTTGTGTTGTGTTGTGTTGTGTTGTGTCGTGTCGTGTCGTGTCGTGTCGTGTCGTGTCGTGTCGTGTCGTGTCGTGTCGTGTCGTGTCATATCGCATCGTGTAGTGCGTGTCGTGTCGGAAGGAACGCGCACGTGGAGGAAAGGGTTGGCGCGCGAGGCCCTGCGCGATGGAATCGTGTCGCGCCACTCGCACGCCGCCAGCTCGTAGACCACCTGCATCACATCGAGCACGTGCTGCAGCCCAAGAGACCACCCTGCTCGCCCATCCGCACGCCCACAAGCATTACGCGTGTGTGATCGAGCGTGTGCAATTGTGCGACTGAGCGTGCGTGCGTGCGTGTGCATGTGTGCGTGCGCGGTGGGAGGGACCTTTGGTGTGAGCGATCATGAGCCATACGAGGAAGGGGAGGCGGGGGTGCGCCAGGCCGTCCTCCATGACGATCACCGGCAGCCGCCGCAGGCATTCGTCGGGACTCTGCTGCAGCAGCTGGTAGGCCAGTCGCACCGCTGTGTGTGTGTCGTGTGTGTCAAAAAACTGTGCGTGTGGCACACGCTGACCGCACACACGCGCACCTGGCCAAGGCAGCCGGCGGCGCACAGCCTTCTGGAGGGCCGATTTGAGGAGTTCGTCATAGTAGTGCACGGCCGCACCGCCCGCGCCGCTCTCCGCGTCGACGAGAGGCATGGGCGGCCGCGCGTCGGCGGCCACCAGCAGCGTCATAGGCGCAGGGCCGGCATCGTCATAGTTATCATCAGCCCACCCGCGTAGGGCCACGTTGGCAGACCACCGCACACGGCCCAGGGCCTCGTGCCACCCCTCTGCGGCTCCCGACGGGAGGCGGTGAGGCTGAGCAAGTAGTGAACGACACAAGAAAAGGGGGGGGGTGTACCTTCGCCTGGGAAATGGAAGGTGACGTGGCGGGAGGATGAAGAGAAGAGGGCCAGCATTTTTTGTTTGGGCTTGCGGACTGCCAGGGCCGTTGGGGCCTGCGCCAACAACTCCTCTTGCATCTCCATCTCCGCGATGCACTCGCGTTGGAATCTTGGCTTTGCATTTGGCGGCACAGATGTATGGAATTTTCCAAGCCGTTTTTCGAATTTACGGAATAGGTCGAACATGTCGGTCGGGACTTTTGGTGTCCGGCTTATCCACCACACCGCGACAGACGGCTCGAGCCCCCAATCAGCAATGTCCCTGCTACGGTAAAACGGCGGCCACGTCTTCAACGCCACACAGCTCAACTCACAAAGACCTCACAACCCTCGGGGAGGCCATGGCACAGACTTGTGCACCGGCCCTTCTTATCTTCTTTTGCGCTTGCGCCCTTATCACCACCGTGCTCGCTCGTCAACAGCCCACGACCTCCAACGACTTGGCCGCAGCCCAGCGAGAGCTGCTCCGGCGCTTGTCCCTCTCCCCACCCACGCACCCCGCCGCCGCTCCCCTGTCGTCGGCCGACATCAACGACCTCGTCCAACGCTTCACCGTACATTCCAGTCCTTTGTTTGGCCTTTTCCCCGGAATTCCACTCACTCTTGGAGTCGTTGTTGTTTGTTGGTGGCTCCCAGCAGCAGGCGGACTTGAAGAAGAGGCAGGAGGCCGGTGGTCCGGTGCCCTCGGGTCTCACTCCGCTGGTCATCGTGCCCTCGCTCTTGGGCAGCCGCCTCCAGGCGCAGCTCAACCATGTCCAGACC